TTTAGATTTTTAGTTTTAAGTTCTGATGTCTGATGAAAGTGTGAAAATAGGTGAAATATTACAAAAGTTGCATTAAAATCTCTTTATCATAGATTTATAAAAGAGAGAAAAAAGTGTATATGGCGAGGACAATCACCCGCTCTTTGACGGAAAAGTTTTAGAGATGGGATCAGGTGCCTAGGAGGAATAAACATTCCTTGTTGATCGATCACATCCGCTGTGAGCCCTATGTATTGATCAAGTAAACGGAGCATTTCGTAATCAAATTTAGTATAAAAACAAAGGTATAATAGTTGGGTAAAAGAAGTAAGCCAAAAAAAAAAAGAATAATTTGTGAAGCCCTTTTTTCCGTTTTACATACCTTTAAAACATAAGTGAACATATATTACGTGTATTTATCATTAAGTTATTTAATGACATAAACTTGAGACAGTGTCTTTGTATTATACTCCCCCTATATATACGCCTTCATTCTTCAAGAAGTATTCTACTCAAATCAAACATAGCATTTCTGAATCAATCGCGACAAAACGCAAATCAAGTATCGCACAAACACCAGCAATGATAGCGCGTTTCCTCAAATTCTATAATTATTTATTTTTGTTTAACTTCTTTCGATTGATAAATGTTTCTCTTGTGATAATAAATGCCAATATTTGTTCAAAACTGTTTAAATCGCGATAATTTTATCAAAAAACAATAAATCTTAATTTCATGCAAATCACAAAAAGGATCCGAAAAAAGTATAGCCATCGCAAAAATATGTTGCAAATAGTATAGCATTCACTCAAAACAAGAATAGCTAAATTTCTCTAAAAAGCGTAATTTATAGAAATCAGATGATGTTTCGTGTGTGAATTGAGGCGAAAACTTAGATACAATAACTTTTACAACAGAATATAGTTTGAAAAAATTAAGAACAATTATTGAAATAATTCCAAATGAGCGAAAATCCCATTTTAACAAAGTAAATGAGAACGGTATCGAATTTCTAACATGTTTCAACTGAAAAATTTTCTCAAATCAATTTACATTGATTCTATAAAGGTTAATAAGTTTCCTAATTTCTTAAAGTTACTTTTACCCATATTTTGCCCGCAGAATTTTCTTTTTTACCCATAATGCATCAGAGTACCCAAAGCAATATAGCAAGTGATCCAAATCAAGTAGATTTTCGATTAGCACTTTGTATACAGTGATTACGTAGAAAACGATATAAAGTGGCCTATCGACGCATCAAATTAATGGAAATTAAAGATTTCTTTATGATTAAGGGATTTATTTATTTCATTTCCATTCAAAATAAGTTACAACTACATCGTATATTGTGGTAATTTGATGCTGATCCCCCATAAAACTACTAGAAATGAATGATCTGGCACTGCAACTATGATTTACAAACGTGTTTTTTAATTTTTAGATATAAAGTTTAAATATCTTATGCTCAATTATTTTTTAAATAAATAAATAAATAAACAAAGAGGTTTAGTTAACTTTATACTAAGAGTATGGCATAATTGAATGTGAAACACTTAACATGGTTAACGCGTTTCCATAAAGAAAATTAGGGAATAACTATCTTCTAATTTGGTATTTGCGACCGTTAATGCTGATTTAACGGTCGCAAACTGAGTTTTACCGGCGACGCGTAAGCGGAGCCGGTAAAACGGATGTTTGCGACCGTTAAATCAGTATTAAAGGTCGCAAATACCAAATTAGAAGATCAGTTATTCCCATTCTAATCTAATGCAATCCTTGCGTTTTTTTTTGTTCTTTACGTCTTACTTTGTTGAGTTTCGTTACATAAAGTACGTCACGGTAAAACGTGTTTTACATGACAATTGCATTACAATGATAAATATTTACATTCCGTATATTTTTCTTTATGAAATTCATTAGAAATCCACGACATTTAAATTTCTATAACACACGCGAAACCTTGTCACCGCGCGTTAGAATACACATTATAGGAACTAGATGCATTTTCTACAATCTAGGAACACTAAAATGTACAATGTTTTGACTCAATTTAATTAAAATTATAATCCTGTTCAATTAACGTAAAAATACTACAAATGTGCGTTTAAAATTAATTTGTCACTTTTTTCCGCGCAATGTTTGTTTGCGTTATTTAAATTTGCAACGTCATCTGACGTCACAAACGGCTCTTACGTCTATTTACCACGTTAGTTTTGATGGGCGCTAAATTCACATTAAATATTAACGAAATAAGCAATTATGAAGAAGGAAAATTAGAGAATGTAAATATAAGCATTGAATTCATATTTTTGGCTGTCTTCAGTCCTATAACACAATTTATCATACCGCGCTAACGCGCGGTATTCAATTTGTCGGCACGGCCAGGTGTGTTATAGGACCGAAGACAGCCAACAATATGAATTCAATGCTTAAATAAACAGACGGAATGTAGAATTAATCTAAAAAGTTTGTACAGAGCCGATATTTATATCACAGACTGTATAATTATTCTTACAAAAAGTAAAATAAAAGTTATCAAAATGAAACATATGGAGGTAACGAACTGATCTTGCGTATCGAATCAACTAAAGATATTTAAACTCCGTATGCAGGTGATGAAGGTATACTTCTGCAAAAGTGGGGGAAGTTGACAATTTTAAAGTTAAATTCATCACGTTTGTCAATGAGTTTTGTTGTTAGATAATCATTGTCGTCTTTTTTGAGTAAAATATCCAAATATGAAACAGATGTGTCAGATTTTCTGGTATCTATTATTTCAAGCTCACATGGATATATTATATCGATATAAGAATGAAAATTACCATCGTTAAATATTACCAATTGCTGTGTTTTTCTAGTAAGCCAACTGTGAAATTGATTTGAAAACCAATTTAGTATATAATCACGCGTAGAAATATACACGGAGAAACATGCGTTAACGTGACGTCACAATAAGGTTGCAGCGACGTTAGTAAAATGCAACGATATAGGGCAACGGGAAATTCAAATATTGAGTATATTTTAGTTGCTTCCAAACATGTAAAATGTAAATTTAAGGCATGTTTTTAAGTTTTGTATGAGTTATTGGTGTGTGAATCACACAGACTTGTCACGTAGGCATATTTCATGAAGCGCGCATTGTTAATTAAAAATACGTCGTCGATATACCTAAATGTCGAGTTGAAGGCCATTCAGCAATTGTTTTCTTCTTTTCACATAAGATTTTGGACCAATGCTGCTTCATATGAATACAAAAATGGGTCTTCTAATAATGGGGCGAAGTGATAAGAAGTGAACAAGAAATCAGAGTCAGTGGTAAGTTAAAGTGAAGAAGGGCTCAAAATATGAAGTAATTGATTTGTGGACAAGGACTTAGAATTTGTCACTGTGGTGCTAGAGAATCAGGGCTCAGAGTCTATGGTATCTCCATCAAATAAACATTCTTGCCTTACAGAAGGCAAGGTCTTATGAAAGACGCAAAGTCAACATTTTGCAAATTCTATGCTCGATTCATTGACCTTATCAGCAAATTCTATATTAAGTGGAATGCTGAATGACAGTTTCACATTCAGATTGTTCGGCAATTATTTTACACAACAGATTGTCTACGGATTTTTCAGTTATATCCCGATCATGACAAGGAACTCCCGGCACGTATGAGCGGTCGACAGAAACGCTTACTCCTTCATGGCACCTGATCCCACCTCTGGTGCTTTTATAGATCAGTGTTTGCTCTTTCCAACGCAGTTTGTACGTAAATTGTTTTGAGGTATATTTAATGAATGCTTTGAAGTTTTGTGTGCGCTTCATGAAAAATATGCCTACGTGCAAGTCTGTGTGATTCACACACCAATAATTCACACAAAACTGAAAAACATTCCTTATATTTACACTTTACATGTTTGGAAACAACTAAAATATACTCAATATTTGAATTTCTCGCTGTCCTATATCGCTGCAATTTAACTAACGTCATTGCAGCCTCATTGTGACGTCACGTTAACGCACGTTTCTCCGTGTATATTTCTACTTGTGAGTATACTTAAGGAATGACTCTAATTGTTGGCCAAATTATTCGATGATAACCTGGTTTTGGTCAGTTTACGCTTTATAATCCGCGAAGCGGAATGACTCTAATTGTTGGCCAAATTATTCGATGCATGATAACCTGGTTTGGGTCAGTTTACGCTTTTTTTATAATCCGCGACTCTAATTCTTGGCCAAATTATTCGATAATAAATGAAATAAATATATGATATTTATCCGTTTTGCGGATTATAAAGCGTAAACTGACCCAAACCAGGTTATCATCGAATAATTTGGCCAAGAATTAGAGTCATTCCTTATAATTTAATTTTAAAATAATTAAACAACTGTGGGTGTCAAATTGTGCTGATCAATCTGCTGATCAAACAAGCTAAAGCGTCGTGTGAATGTTCTGAATAACATCGTGACAAGTAACACGGTTTGATTTTCTTAAATATGTTCACTTATATGATTCCAGAATTGGTAAATTCTAATAAATAAAATGACTGATTTAAATGAAGCTACCAGGCACTAATCTTTATCTACTATGACTAACCATATTCATTGATACATCATACGAAAATAAGCAAACTTTATTGTTATACCTTTAAAATTTTGTTCCTTTACAAATCTATACGAAAAAAGTCTAACATTTCTAATGTTTTGCTGAGCGGGCATGAAAAAATCGATGTTGGACCACTGAGTGAGATGTTTGGCCGCTTGCGTCACAGAATGGGCGGAGCTTAATCTCATTTTCATTCGTTGGTGTTCAAAAGTAACGGACCTGAGCTTGCGTCACGGAAGACAGTGCAAAATACATGTATTAAAACATTAAAATGAAAGGAATAACAAAACATTCATTGACTGAGTTCGAGGGCAAAATGCGTTTTGTCGACCCTCTAACCAAACTGTCTCCCTTCGGCCTAACTGCCTTAGGCAGACAGTTTGGTTCGAGGGTCCGACAAAATGCATGTTGCCCTCGAACTCAGTCCATAAATGTGTAATGTCAAGTTAAAGTTCTATGAAGTATTACCATCATGAATGTGTTGGAAATTATAATATTACATGAATTCATGTTCATGTGATCAATGCATATTTTCTTGGTGAAAGAAATAAAAAATTTTTGATAAATTTTTGAATTAGAATTTATAATGATTTCGGCTTTTCATTTCATTTATTTTAGTTCTTTACAAAGCCAATTCCTTGGGAATGCATTTCTCGATGACCAAATCCCAGAAACATTTGTCAGCAGAACAGGTGCCCGAGTCTGGCTTCTTCAGACAGTCAGATAACTGGCGGGCCAGTATTCTCAACTTATTTGAGGATTGTCTGGTGAAATCAGCCTTCAGAGTCTTCTTCTCCTCCTCGCACTTGGCGGTAGCCTCACCTCTCAGAGCATCCTTCTCCTTCTCGCACTTGGCGGTAGCCTCACCTCTCAGAGCATCCTTCTCCTTCTCGCACCTGCTGGTAGCTTCAACTGTCAGAGCCTCTTTCTCCTTCTCGCACCTGGCATTAGCTTCTTTGACCTTTTCAATTCCACAATTTTTAATTTGTCTGTCGAATTCAGTTTTCAGAGCCTTTTTCTCTCGTTCACACCTGTCGTTTGCTTTAGTGACCTCTCCGGCACAATTACAGCAACACCAGGCTGGAAAAATAAAAAAGAAAGTTTTTTCTTCATAAATATAATATTTGTTTTAAATAAATCTTTTAATTTCAATTTGTTTGTAGTAAGTTTTAAAAATAAGAAATGAATTCTTTTGATAAGAAGCAGAAGAGCTATTTGCTCGTCTTTCAACATGAACAGGACTGGCCTATTTCTGATTTACATTTATGACAGGATTTAAGAGGTATTGAGGTAACTAACTTTTCAAGCTCAAGGTCCATTTAAACAACACAAATTGAGAGAAGAGCAAACACGGATCTCCAAAATCATCAGAGATGGGATTGGGTTTCCATGGTGGAGTGAACATCCCCCCGAAGACTGGCCACCCCAGCTTTATGCTCCTTGTCATGATCGAGAAAATACGGGAAAATTTGTTATCCTTACAATGAGCGTGAAAAACACCAGTCAGAATTACTATCATGATAGGTTGTGTATGCTGACAAGGTCATTCTGAGGGCCATAAAACTAAAAATTAGTATGAAAAACGTCAGCCAGAATTTGACGCAACAAGAAATTGTATTTGCTGACAAGGTCATTGTATCGACCATAGAACTTACGAAGTGATTATTTTAATCGAGACTCCCGATATTCTTGTTTCATCAACGTGTTTGTCAATAATTTTAGAAATTGTTTAGAAATTTAAATTTTGCATTTACCTCCCCCTAGTAAATTCAAAATTTACAACATGATAACTTACTGCGAATTTATAAAACAAGTCAACACCATTAGCATTAATATAAAATCAAACAAATTTATTTCAAACAAGCCTAAAAATTTAAAAATCAACAATTTCAGATCGACAAAAATAAGAAGAAGAGAAACACAAATAAATGAATTTTTAAAAGTTATGTTTAATTTAATATAATATAAATTTAACAACAATATTCCATATAAAGTAAACAAGAATGAAAATGTTAAATTACTTGCCTTCTGTCTGGAGTCCAAACAATGTTACAGAGACCAGGAGCGTACACACTAGTGTATGATGCATGACTGGAAAAACAAAACTAATTTTGATATTATTATATATATATATGCTATCTATTCATCTTGTTTTATCCTTATACATGTAGTACTTGACAAATTTCCCATTATAAATGCAATTGTCGATAAAAAATGAATCCATGGATTATGAAACATTAATACAATTCATAATACATGGGAAAAAATTACAGACAAAAATAGACAAAGTAATATAGTATAATGCATACATATTCAATATTGTCACCAGCTAAGGTCCAGAATGAAATGATATTTCTAGATATCTAACACTGGCAACAATATATAGTTTAACATACCAGTAACATGCTGTATAGATTGGACAGTTTTTACCTTTTCTACGAATAAATTCACACGTATTTTTTTATTCGTTCAAAGAAAGTCACATTACAGTCAGTCACTGGTTTATTTACTCAAGTAAATGTGTGCTCGCTTAATCGGATGTTTAGTTTGCTGTATGAATTTATCATTCACAAAATCGATTATATGCACAGGTTGTAGACACTATGCATATTGTTCTATTTAATATGAACATATTCAATAAGAAATATGTATGATTGTAAGTAGATTGAAAAAGTATCTCTTTTTGATAGGTCAATTGTGAACCCTTGTACTGAATGAAAAACAGAATTTGTAATAAAACAAGTAAGAGTCATTGTTCCATTTGTTCTAAATATGGATAAAAAAAAAGAAAATTGATTAAATAATAGAAAGGACCATAGAATTTGTAAAATCTTGACGATAAAACATGACTTACAAATTCCTGTAACATCAGAATATTGTCAGTAACGCGCTTTGTTCGTATTCAGATTATGTCAACTTATTGCATATCGAATCAGGATGTGCTGGTCCAATCTGACAAAGCAGGTAACAACATTGTCTTTGTTTGTAAGGCTCATTATCTAAAGAGTTTCAGAGGAACTGAGGTTTTATTCCTACCAAAAAAGACAATCACAAGTGCCTATACCGATAGCTCCCATTCTAAGGAGGTAATTCTTCAAAATAATATGAAAGATTTGAATATTTAAAAAAAAAACTGTTCTAGGTTAAGCAACCTTGTTTTTTGTTTATGATAAAGGTACTTCAAAATAGGTATAAAAGATTTTCCCCGTTATTTTCTATATATTATGCTTCTCATGAATTTTGACACTTTTTTTCATTTACTTTCCGAAACTTACATTAAGGTACTGTTCACCAAATTTTATTCGCGACGACTTTATTTCGTGATTTACAAGTTGAAAATTAGTTTGCAAAAATTAATTTTTGCGATCAAGCCTAGTTTGGATCAATTGTTAATTAACACAGAGACCTAAAGGACCGGTTTGTGGCGAGAATTATTCGCGATTAAGAGGCTCACGCGAACATCGCGAAAACTTCTCGCACGCGAATAAATGTTGGTTTTCAGTATTTCACTTGTGAGCTTTTGGGTAAAGTTTTCCTAACAACAAACAATAAACAATATACTCTATTCAGCTTAAAAACTGTTCATTGAATTGTAAAGAAACAAGATTTAGAAGGACTATTTAGTGTGATGGAAGTGGAAGGATATCTATAAGAAAATTCTTTAAATCCAAATTTTTGTTTGATTTAATATCTTGGAACTTTAGCCAAATTTTGTTTTACTAGTTTTTTTCTCTCGTCATTTTATGCATGAAATATAAAGCATTTATTTTAATCATTTTTTTAAAAATAAATTTTACACATGCACGTAACAAAAAGTAAAGATAAACGTAGAAGGTCAAGAGAAAAATAACGTAGACAAGTTGATATGTAAATAATGGACAAGAATTAGTATGAAAAGTCAGTCAGCTTGACTCAATTTAATAAATGCATATTGTCTTTGCTGACAAGGTCATTGTACTGATAGAAAACAATGATGACTTCAATGGAGACTGTAGCTATTCTTGTCTCATCAACCTGTTTGTCGATGGCTTCCATTTTTTATTTTATGCATTTCATTAAACATGGTAAAATTCCAATAAATTCCAATAAATAGTTCTATGTAGAATGCAAACGTTAAAATAGATATGTTTGAAAAATACTGTTACAATTAAAAACAAAATACTTTGTAAATTACTTATCATACAAGATGTGTTTGTGAAACACAATGCGCCCGGCGGCAACAAATAAAAAAAAATTGGCATAAAGGTCACAATGAAGGTCACAAGGTCATTGATCATGGTGTCATTTGAAAGATCTTGATCAGTGAAGTATACATGCCAAATATGAAGTCTCTATCTTTCATGGTTCAAAAGTTATGGTTAAGGTTTAGAAAAAGCTATTTTTAGCATATAAGACACAGTCAAGGTCACAAGGTCATTGACCATGGTGTCATGTAAAAGGGCTTCAATGGTGGAGTATGAATGCCAAATATTAGGTCTCTATCTTTCTTCATTCAAAAGTTATGGCGAAGGTTATAGATTGCCGTAAAAAAACTATATTTAGCGTATAGGCCACAGTCAAGGTCACAAGGTCATTGACCATGGTGTCATTTGAAAGAGCTTCAGTAGTGGAGTAGGGATACCAAATATGAAGTTTCTATCATTCATGGTTCAAAAGTTATGGCCAAGGTTAAAGTGTGCAAAAAAACCCTCTATTTTTAGCATATAGGTCACAGTCAAGGTCACAAGGTCATTGATCTTGGTGTCATTTGAAAGAACTTCAGTAATGGAGTAGGCATAGCAAATATGAAGTTTCTATCATTCATGGTTCAAAAGTTATGGCCAAGGTTAAAGTTTGCAGACAAACAGACAAACAGACAGACAGGACAAAAACAATATACGCCTCGGATCTTTCGATCCGGGCGCATAAAAAACAATGTGTGATATAGCTTCCATAACCCAACATCGAGTTTACATCAGATATTGATCATAAATTGTTTAACACTCTGATTCAATGGCTACTAATGTTTAAAGATAACACATACTCCGTCACGAGTATAAGGACATTATGAATGACTCAGAGAGTACATCTTCATGTAAAGATACAAATCCCTCTGATTTATGCTCCAAGCCTCACTAAATACCTCATTTCAAAGTCATAGTTAGCATCTTCCGTATACAGTAAAACTCGGTTATAGCGAAGTCCTTGGGACCTGTGAATTTAATTCGCTATATCCGTAATTCTTTATATCCGTATTACGAATTCGTATAACCATTATAGCGAATTCGCAATATGCATGTAATCCTTCAAGTATTACTACCAAATATGTTAGGGAAGCAAATATTACAAAACGTATCTTCGATAACTAAGGTTTTATTATGAATTGTATATTATATACAAATATTAAAAGGAAATAAAGTCGGTTCAATTTCTCAATTTTATATAATCTTTGAAAATGCATTATAAAAGATGTAAATTTTATTATATTTAACCTCAACGGGACTCAAGATCAGTTCGCCATATCCGTAAATTCGTTATATCAGAGTTCGTTATAACCGTAAAATTTTACAAAGATTTGTTAAGAATTTTGCCGGGGACCCAGAAAAACTTCGCTATATCGTGTATTCGCTATATCCGTGTTCGTACTAAACGAGTTTTACTGTATAATTTAAAACAATTGGTGAGTTTAACTGATGCTCAAAGGATATTAAATACTTGGCAGATATGAATTGTCTTTCTTTTCTCTGTGTTAGTGGCTATGGTCGAGTTATCTTTCTTTTCTCTTTGTTTGCCAGTAAATTAAAATCTTTAAAAGTCAAAAGTCGTTATCTCCGAAACAAGAACGTTATTTCTTTAAAAATTCCATCTTTTCCTAGAGAATAGGAGACGACTTCCATTGTGAGATAGAAGAGAATGATTGCAAGGAATATGATGATCACAACAAGGACAGTTACTGCAACGCAGAACACATCAGTCAACCGCATCTGGAAAAAAGAGGGTACATGTTACTACACTGACTAAATCAGTCAACAGCATCTGGTAAAGAAAACACACGTTACAACACTGAATAAATAAGTCAGCTGCATGTGAAAACGAAAATACCATGTTAAATGAATAACAGTGGCCAAATCAGTCAATTGCATCTGTAACAAGATGCCCAGGGGCCACATCGCTCGCCTGAGTACTTTGGCTAGGAAAAAAAGCAAAAATCAATTTAGTATTAAAAAGCTTTAATAGGAAGAAGGGGTTAGGGGAGGGGGTAAAATTTGAACAAACTTAAATCTACACTATCTGAGGGTGCTTGCAAATAAAATGACAAACCATGACTTTGTTGTTTTTGAGAAGAAGTTTGTTCTTATATACTCCTATGTTTATCTTTGATTTCATTTAAATATGAACAATCATGGCTTTGGTGCTCTTGAGAAGAAGATATTTGAAGATTGTTCCTATATACCCCTTGCTAAACTTTCATCGTCCACTTTGGCCCTGCCCTACCCCAAAGTGTCATGATTTGAACAAACTTGAACTACAAGTACGCTGCCTGTGAATGCTTTCACATAAATTTTACCAACCATGGCTTTGATGTTCTTAAGAAGATTTAAGAAGATTTTTTCCTGTATATTCCTATGTTAAACTTTGATCGTCCATTGTGGCCCCACCCCTCCCCCGAGGTCATATTTTAAACAAACTTGAATCTACACAACCTGAGGATGCTTCCATATAAATTTGACAAACCATGGGTTTGATGTTCTTGAGATGAAGATTATTAAAGATTTTTTCCTATATATTCTTATGTAAACCCTTGATCATCCATTGTGGCCCCACACTATCCAGTGGGGTCATGATTTGTACAAACTTGAATCTACACCACCTGCAGATGTTGCTATATAATTAAATATGACCAATAATGACTTCAATGTTCTTGAGAAGAAATTTTTAAAGAATTTCTTATATATTTCTATGCAAAACTTTGATAACCTGTTGTGGCCCCACCCTACCCCGGGGGTTATGATTTGAACAAACTTCATTTTTTTCCTTCGTCAATTTCCCTTATTTATGTCGCAACATTCCAATTACCTGCTTATGAGATATTTATTTCTCAACTAATTCAATTGAGACAAACTTCGAAGTAATAAGTTATAATGATGCATGATTTTCAACAACTCTGATTAGAATAAACCTTTTTCGCAATTCCATTGTAATTATAGTATAAAAGACATTGATTATAGATATAACGTATCGCCGGGTCTTACTTTGTTTGAAACGTCTCATAGTATTTGTTTGCAAAATTTTATGCTAAATATAACTTCAGAGTACTCCGTCTACCGGAACAATTAACACGGAGCGTGTGACCTGTCGACAAGGGATGGTTCCTTCTCCTAGCTATCTGATTCCACTTCCTGTGTTTCCAAGGCACGTGTTTTGC